AGACTTTTACTAGAATGAGTTCCAGCTCTGATGATGTCAATCATAGGATAGAGAAAAGCTCTGCCTGTTTTCACTCGAAATGAGGGAGTAGGTCTCGTGGGCTGCGTCAACCTTAACGTCGTGTATAAACTAATTCGCAGCAGTACAACGAGATTAAGCTGTCCTCTTCTGGTGAGATCGACCTTGGAATCTATTCTTAATGCACTTTCATATGAAATGAAGTCTCCCCAACAATATTATCTCAGGATATTGATTGAAAAGCAGTTACTCTTCTTATTTGCATGTTATTGTTTTTGTTCACTCTTTATTTACTATCTGACTATATTTCATCCAAGCCTTGACTTTTAATACGAATTGGTCTTTTTATTTTGCCCGTCTATTTCAATTCTTCAAATGTTTCTTTCTCTAAATACCTTGCTTTGAACTAATTTTTGTCTCCTTTCCATTTTATCATTTACTTCATTCTAAGGTCACACAGGAGGTGTTCGCTGCTTGTGTGCAATGGATTCAGACTATGCCTTTATTTCTGCTAGCTCTGACAAAACTGTTCAGATATGGCGAATTTCTGCCAATTCGGTGGACATGGCAGCTGACGAACTCGATAAGGGTAATTGGCTCGGCTGGAGTCGATATTGGCCTGGCCCCAGGAACGCAGGAGTTGGAAATGAGGCTGGAATTGAAGTTGGGATTATGGGCACACGGATTCAGCGTGGCCTCTCAGAATCAGCAATAGCAGCTGGTGGGAGTGGGACCTCTGCTATTACTACCGATGGCCTGTACACATCTGGTACTGCCTCGTCGATATCTATTCAGTCCGTTGATAGTTTATCAGCTCAATTCGTCTTCCGTGAACACAAAAAACCGGTTTTCGCTGCATACCTTTTTGATCATCGTCATGTGGCCTCCCTGGATGGCAGTCTCATAGTCTGGGATCCAAATACAGGGCAAAAGGTGAGCGTCTCATAATTGAACACAAAACTTACTTTTATGTTAGATGCAATGCACTTATATATTCACTTCATCTTGTATAAGATATATTTTAGTTTCTAAGACTTCAATAATTGAATGAAACATAATGGTTAAATTATATATATATATGAAAACA